AGGGTGGCCTTGGCATCCGCCGCCTTAGGGACATTGTTACAGCTTTCTCATACAAGCTGTGGTGGCGCTTCAGGGAAGGAAAGTCGCTTTGGGCTCAGTACCTTCGCGGCAAGTACTGCCCTAGACGTGCCAACCACCCTTGTTGGGTCACGGCTGTTGATCATGATAGCAGACAGTGGCGGCGCCTCACTAGGGTCGGGAGGCGAGCCCAGGATCACATCTTTTGGGTTTTGGGCGGGGGCGATGTCAGTGTTTGGGATGAGTGGTGGGTAGGTGATAGGCCGTTGTCTAGGGATAGGCAGGTGTCGCATTCCCCCTACCTGCTCGTGAGCGACCTCTGGACGGACGGGTCGTGGGATAGGGGGAAGCTTGATAGGGAGTTGGGGGCTGGTGCGGGTTTTAGCGAGCAGTTATTAGATCAGATCCAGCAGATCCCTATCTCGGGGGACGGTTCAGATAGCATGAGGTGGAGACTTACATCATCAGGTGTGTTTTCTACTACCTCGGCTTGGGAGCAGATAAGGCTGAGGGATCGGCCTAATCTCCTCTTCGGGGCTATCTGGAGTGACCTTTTTACGCCTACTATTTCGGTATTCCTTTGGCGCCTTCTCTTGCGCCGGATACCCGTCGATACTGTGCTACACGCGAGGGGGATCTCCTTCCCCTCTCGGTGTGTGTGTTGTTCTGAGACTGGACGCCATGAGACTGAGACCTTTACCCACCTTTTTCTAGAGAGTGAGATTGTGAGGAGAGTGTGGGAGCATTTTGCCACTTGGACTCATATATCCCTACCCACCACATACAGTTTTTTTGAGCTCCTGAGTTTTTTCTCACAGAGCACACACCTTAGACACGTGGGCTTCCTCATTCCTTGTCTGATCCTTTGGTTCACCTGGACAGAAAGGAATAGTGCGAAGCATAGGGATATTACTTTTATGTTTTCTCACATTGTTTTGCAGGTTGAGAGACACATTTCACTCCTCATCTCATTGGGCAGGCTCACGGCCCGAGACTGGACAGGCTGCACGCCACCGCATCGCTACATGGTGGCCCCACCACCGCCTGTTCGGCCTCCTCGGGCCAGAGCTGTTGTTTGGCTTCGACCTGACTCTCCGTGGGTCAAGCTGAACACTGATGGCTCCTTTGATCGCCACACTGGAGTTGCCGGAGGAGGAGGCTTGATTCGGGACCATAGCGGCGCCCTCATCACCGCCTTCCACGCGTCCATTCAGGCCTCCTCGAGCTACGATGCAGAGATTCAGGCACTACAGATTGGCCTTCAGATTGCTGTCCACCTCTCTAGTCATATATGGATCGAGCTGGATGCTGCGGCTGTCGCCACCCTCCTGACTTCGGGCCATCAGGGCTCGTGGCAGATTCAGCACCCGCTTATGCGCATTAGAGATCTACTTCGGTCAGTCCATCACAGGATCACGCACATTTTCCGTGAGGGGAACAGACCGGCTGATTACCTGGCCAGCCTTGGCGCCACCATACCAGGCACACATACATTCCAGACCGACACTGCTCCACTCCGCCTTCGCACTCTTGTACGGATGGACCAGCTTGGATATCCAGCGTTCCGCTTTCACTAGTTTAGGATTTCTATTTTCATTAGTATAGACATTTATCTCGGGCATCTGTTAGCCCGAAGATCGACTTTATATTGTAGTTTTTTGTTTCTTTTTCGTTTTTCGGTTTTTTCTTTCTTGTTTTTCTTTTGGTTTTGGTTTTGATTCTCAGACTATGTAGACCTTTGTATCTGGTTCGTTGACATTATTGGGCTCCCGTTTTTGGGGCCCTGATCTATGCACAGGTTGGGGATCCAGCCCAATCCCCCGCCCTTCCGGGGCGTTGTTTGTTTAAAAAAAAAAAAAAAAAACCTAGCAACAAAAGACAACTAACCTAGCAGCAAGAAAAAAATAACCTAGCAACTTAAGACAACTAATCTAGCAACAAAACTCAGCTAATCTAGCAGCTACAAATAACTAACCTAGCAACAACAAACAACTAACCTAGCAAGAAAGAAATAACATAACAAAAGACAAATGGCCAACGGTCAACGTCGGAAGTCAACACCGGAGTCAACGGTCAACGCCGGAAGTTAACGATTTTCGCCGGAAGTCAACGGTCAACGTCGGAGTCAACGGTCAACGCCAGAGTCAACGGTCAATGGTCATAATAATATTTAAATAATTAAAAATAAATAATTAAATAATAAAAATAAAGAATTATTATTTAAATCAAGATCTAAATCTTGTGGCTAGGAATGAGTCTCACGTCCTCACTTTAAATAATGGGATGCATTGGAACCAATCCCTATATATATATATATAGGTTTGATCACTTTTCTAATAGTAACTATTTCCCTAAAAAATCTATTTAATATATCAAGAAACTAATTTAACAATTTATGGTATATTTTAAATAATCACTTATGGAAATTGCGCCCTCATTTAAGAAAATGATATAAGCTATAAAAAAATTATTTTTAAGATACCTTAATTATTCAACTCATGTGAATTTGGCTAATTTACCTAAATATGGGAATTTCGGCTGCAATATCAATTGGTGATTTGTAAAAATCTTCCACCTAAATTGTGTAGTTAATTATCTAATAAGTGTTTTATATTTTTCATGTAATTCTTTTGTGAAATATATTTTTAATATACATTAATTACGCAAATTGTGTAAATCCAAATGATTTATTCAATCTGCAAATAATTACTAGAATTATGAAAATAACAACTAAAATAATCAATTATGAGATTTGCGAAAAACTATTCTGAAAAAATTGTGTTCATGACAATTTTTATTTAAATATTATTTTTTTTTTGTTATTTTTTTTGTGTATTTAATTACTCAAATTGTGAATAATTAAGAATATAATTAGACAGTAAAAATTTAAAATTTTAAGATACCCTAATTACACAGTCGAGTAAATTTGGTTTATTTATTCAATTATATTTTTTTAATAAAATTATTCCAAAATAATTGTATTAATAGCATCTTCTATTTAATTATTTCTTAATAAATGTTTTTTTGTCTTTTTTATTTTTGTCTATAAAAAACGTGGGTTTCGATTTTATTTTGTACGCTGGACAATTAATTTTGTGGTAAAATTGAATATCATTTTTTATATTTTATCGATAAAGTATGAAATCGAATTATTTGGTAACTATATATTGATGCAATATACTTGCTTATGGTAAAAAGTGGTATCTCAGTATTTTTTTTCTTTGATATTGTTAAGAATTTTACTCGATATTAATGAGAGAAAAATCTGGAAAACATTATAGTTTGTAAATGTGCGTGGAACATATCAAATTATTTCGTGTGTGTGTGTATGTATATATATATATACATATATAAATTTGTATTTACTTGGATCACATTGTAGACAAATCGAATTTTTGCACAATTTATATTTCATATAAATTGACATATTTAATGTAATTTTGCACAATTTATATTTCATATAACATTTTCAACAAATTAATATAGGTAAGTTGTATTACATATTGAATCCATATTTTTAATTTACAAATATTATTTAATAAATATTTTTAATTTATAAATATTACAGAATATTTGCACGGGATTCGTACTAATAGTCCATGCAAAAATTGATGGGACATGTCGGACGGTGCAACCAACTTTATCAGGTCATATTCAAACGATCAGAGTGATCATAAGTCTTCCTCGAGAAGCTTCCGCGGGTGATTGCCGGCTTGATCGGCAACCTTAATGGTGATCGTTTGGGCCGACTGTGAGGTGATTTTTGTATTCTGGGCTCTGTTTGTCCACTTGGACTAAGATTAGTATGTGAGCCACGGCATTTATTGTGATCGGATATTTTGGGCACAACAATACATATCTACCTTGAATCAAAACTAGTTTTTGTTCCGTGCATTTGCACGGAAAACTATATGATACATGAAAAAATAATAAAAATTATAAACAATAGTAAAAATCATAACAAATTCATTGAAAAAAATTAAGAAAAAAAATATAAATATTCTTAAACACTTCTTTATAAAACAACGTCGTGGTTTTTCTATCGTCAAAATCTCCCTAAGCTCAAATCAAAATCTTCAAACCCCACTGACTCGTAACTCTAAAAAACGCCACGTATAATTGCTCATGACTAAATGCAGAGCTCTTCAGTAGTAAGCCGACGTGCGACAGAGACTGTCTTTGACTCTTATTGATCATGTCATAACATAGGAAACACTTCTTTATATTGTTTGTCCTTGACTCTTATTGATTGATAGAGATTGTCCTTGCTTCTTAATAAAAANTACAGGGTCTTCGGTTGAGTTAATAAATAATAAACTGTTTAGAACTGTCATTAATTTTCCAAAAATGTAATTACAATATTCTAGATTAAGAAGTTATTAGCTTACAAATTTGTTTTAACAAAAGGATCCCAATCATTTTCCGAGTAAGATCTTCTTACAATGATAAGATATTAAGTCCTGTAAACAATTTTTCTTAGAAGACATAAGAAATAAGAAAAATATTAAATATTAAGTCCTAAAAATGTAATTACAATCATTTTCCGAGTAAGATCTTTGTCGTGTGGATATAGCTGAGAATTTACCATTACATAGATGACAAAAAAAAAAAAAAATATTTCAATTATATAATAATATTAAATAATATTGTTTTTATACATATCTACCTTTAATCAAAATTAAAATTTATTTACTGAAAATCTATCTATATCATATTATTTGGAAAATCTTTTATATCCTAAAGTTATTGAAATGACATTATAATATTTTTTATTCTTATATAAATTTAATCACCATCCACATATATTTCTTATTCGTATTTTAAATCATCCTTTGACATATATTTATCATTCTTATTTAAATTTAAATCATCTCCAAATATATATTCTTATTTAAATTTTAATTTTTTCAGAAAAAAAAATCCAGAATAATAGTAAATCCAAATTATATATTTAGGCGGATTTTCCTTCCTATATAATGGTTAGGTAAATCTTCCTGTCTCAAACTATCTCGCTCTGAAATCTCCACAAAACCTAATTCTCCATAAAAAATCTGCTAAACTTAAACCATCAATTAGTGAAGAATGACGAGTCTAGAATGTAGGATGTATGAGGCTAGGTACCCGGAGGTGGACCAGGCGGTGATGATACAAGTGAAAAGCATGGCCGACAGCGGCGCGTACGTCTCACTCCTCGAGTACAACAACATCGAGGGCATGATTCTCTTCTCCGAGCTCTCTCGCCGCCGTATCCGTAGCATCAGCAGCCTAATTAAGGTCGGCCGCATCGAGCCCGTCATGGTGCTCCGTGTCAATAAAGAGAAGGGTTACATTGATCTGAGCAAGAGGCGTGTGTCGGAAGAGGATATTCAGGCGTGCGAGGAAAGGTACAATAAGAGCAAGCTCGTTCACTCGATTATGCGACATGTTGCTGAGACCTTGAGCCTTGACCTCGAGGTTGGATTTTTTCTGATTTTTTTTTTTCTTATTTCGTTTGCCTTCAGTTTTGATCATATATACTGAAAATGTGGTTTTCCACTTTTATTGTATGAATTCCAGCCATTTCTCAAATTTGGGGCTATTTTCATTTAGAAGAACTGTGTAGTTTTATAATTCTCACAAATTGTTTTGGTTACAGCATGTGGTCAGTTTGAGTTTATTCCAATTGGCGTCTTATGTTTCTTGTATTGGCATTTTATATTAGTACTGCTTTTGTATTGATATCATATTTGTAGGTTCGCGTTTATTGTTTTTATCGTCGATTTGCTCAGGGCTTTATGGTTTAGTTTACTATGGCTTATACTGCTTTATTGTAGGATCTTTATATCCATGTGGGCTGGCCTTTGTACAAGAAATATGGCCACACATTTGAGGTAATTTTATTTACTGATGTAGAATTTTCTATTATGAATCGCCTCAGGTTTGATATTATGGTTGTCTTAATTCTTTTGTGTTTTTTATTTGGAACTCCAGGCATTCAAATTGATCATCAGTGATCCTGATTCAATCCTTGATTCCCTCACTCGTGAAGTCAAAGAAGTGGGTCCTGATGGACAAGAGGTACTTTTCGTTTTTCAGTCACGCCATGATTTTCAAGTTGCCTAGCACTAAATCCAGAGTGATGGTATGACTATTTTATACAATTCTATCTATCTATCCTTTGTAGGTGACGAAGGTGGCTCCGGCTATAACTGAAAAAGTAAAAGATGCTCTAGTGAAGAATATTAGGAGAAGAATGACGCCACAACCTTTAAAGATTCGTGCAGATATTGAAATGAAATGTTTTCAGTTTGATGGTGTCCTGCACGTAAAGGTCTTTTAATCATTCAATTGCTCATCTGATTCGTGTCTTCGGGATTTTTGTATCCTACTACAAGGCAAGCTTCTTGGTTACAAGTATTGATTTGAGATGAATTTGCAGGAAGCAATGCGTAGAGCTGAATCTGCTGGCAACAAAGATTGCCCCGTTAAAATTAAGCTGGTTGCTCCTCCAGCATATGTGCTTAACACTCAAACTCTTGACAAGGTAGTTATAATGTTTTGACGAGCAAGCTTGGATTGGGGGATTGGGATTGCCTTTGCCTGAAATTTTAGTTGTTAATATCTCATGGTTAGAACACTATAACTCATCCTTCCATGAAGATGTGTCAGAATAATATAAAATTTTCTATGCATGTGATTTAGGAATTGTGCAAAATATAAGAAAACAAGCAAACAAGCATAAACCACAACTACTTGGAGTGTGTTAAACTTGTGCCAATGCTTTTTCCGGAAGAATAGTTCAGTAGTATGGGTCTAATGTTGTATAACTTGTAACCAACAACTCGTCCTTTAACAGTTCACCAATCGTTAGTTCACAAGTTAACCATTATTCTGATCATATTACACTATGACCAGTTCCCAATTTGTGCTCAAGTATCAATTCTATCCATTCTCACAAGCATGCTTTTTCTTTGCGAACCGGTTCAAAGTTATTTGGACTCAGTTTCAAAAAACATTACGAAACACTAATAGATTTCCTTGGACTGGAGTCTTGTCTTCGGGTTAAAATTTTTTGACCTGTTACCACTTCTGCTACCTTTGCTTTTGTGTACTTTGTTTCAGTTTGCTATGTAACTTATATTGTCTCTATCTGTTTAAACTTGCTGCAAAAAACAGAGTGCCAATTCCTTTCAGTATTTGTAAATGATGGATGAACTGCAGATTGGCGAATATTGACTGAAGTAAATAACCACTGCATTACTTGGTAGTGAGTATTGAATATGCAATTCTCAATAAAATCAGTGTTGCTAAGTTTAGCTTACTACCACATGTGTTATTTCTTGTGTGGTTGACTTCTTAATCAGTAATTCAGTATGCATGCCCTTAATCTTAGCATGATAATGTAGTTACTAGTTACCTTTCTCGATTATGTTTTAATGATTTGGCTTGTGAGTGATAATTTCATCGTCAGTCTATTATGTGTTGCCTATTTTGTTTCCAATTCTCAATATTTCAGTATCATATTGTGTGTGTAACAGATGAAATCCGTGTAGCTTCCAATTGGCTCCATTATTTATTTTGTTATGCAGGAGCAAGGTATCGAAATCCTTAACAGGGCAATTGACTTATGCACGATAGTGATTGAACAGCACAAAGGCAAACTGACTGTCAAGGAGGCACCAAGAGCGGTAAGGATTACATGTCATCATTTTTCTTAACAGGGCAATTGACTTATGCACAATAGTGATGTATATGGGTCTGTTTTATCAGGTGAGTGAACGGGAGGATAAATTACTTGCCGAGCAGATGGCCAAACTTGGACGTGAAAATGGAGAGGTTAGTGGTGATGAGGACAGTGAAGAGGAAGAAGATAACTGGAATGGGCGAAATTGATCTCGAAAATTCCAGAAGTGGTATAACTGGGTGAATTTTCGGTTTGGTTTGTTCAATTTTCGAAAACCTGACCGGAGTTCTGTTTGCTAGAAAATGCTTTTCAATTTTACAATGGGTTATTTTTTACTCAAATTTTGGGTACAAATTCTCAGTTTAGCGTTCATGATTTACAATGTCTTTATGCTTCTGCTGGTGTCAAAATATTAAAGTTGGTGCAAAAAATTCAGTGTTAAAGATCCAACAAAGACCAATGAATAGTAGTGAAGTATACATTAACAAATAACAATCCAATAATCATTTGAGCTGTAAATTGCATTTTCTTGTATTGAAATTGTTTCAAAGATTTGCATTCCTCATGCGAAGCTTTCATCTTCAGTATGCGAATTATAATGATCAAACATAAACGGGGTTAATTCGAAAAGAACAAAGAAACAGTCCCCAGAAAATCAGAGTACCCGTTGTAACATAAACAGTACCCAAAAACAACAATTACCGTAAGATAAATGGGGTTAATTTGATCTCATACGAGGGTAAATCAAAAGCCATGATCGAGACTACCGGTGACCAGAACAGAGGATTGATTCCTCCGGCGAAGATCACTGGAAACGGCATTATCGATCTAATTTCGTCATTGTCGAGCTTTAGCAAATCAGCAATGCCTTTTTGTTGCTCAAATCTCAATTGTCACTTCAAATTCGTCATTGTCGAGCTTTAGCAAATCAGCAATGCCTTTTTGTTGCTCAAATCTCAATTGTCACTTCAAATTTCAAAGAGTTAGCTCAACCCTTCAAGCTAATCCTAAACAAATCTAAACTCTCTTTGTTGCTCAAATCTCAATTGTCACTTCAAATTTCAAAGAGTTAGCTCAACCCTTCAAGCTAATCCTAAACAAATCTAAACTCTCGTACAAATCGAATCTAAAATTCCTAATTCTTACATGATCACTTTCCTTGGTAGAGCTTGTTTCGTAATTCAGGGATGAGTTGTGATGAGTCCTTCAATTTTTTGCTCCGGGAGGTTACATCAATGTCGAATGAGGGATGACATTGAATTTCAGCTTTACGGGGTTTGGTTTTCTCTCTTTCTGCCATAAAATGGAAGATTTTGGACTCAACAAGGATTTTCGGGTTGTGGGCTAATTTGGATTGGCAGTTCAGTAATTTTGGTTTATCACTATCGAATCGATTTCTTAGTAACCGACTAGAGATTGGCTCGGTTTTAGTTTTAGAATTTGGTATTACTGAATTATTCATTTCAATTGATTCAGCTCGGTAATCCTCATGTCAGTTTGGTTACATAACCGATGTCTTCCTGGGTGATGTTCATGGCAAAAATTGCTTAAAAATTAATATATTTTCCCACAAAAATAAAATTATTTAAGAGAATGTATGCTTTTGAGATTTTGAGATACATTTTAAAACTTATTTAACTCTAAGACATTGTAGATTTTTTTTTTTTATTTATTTAAGTTCTTAGACAACTTATAAGTCCACATGTGGAATTTGGGGGAGGGATTTGATATAAATAAGTTATTTTTGAAATTGCAATAAGTTCTAAAAGATTCTAGCAAAATTTCATTGTTAGCCTTATGATATTCTAAAACTTTTTAAAATTTGAATACCTCAAATTAAGAGAGGAAATTTGATCCGAACCCGCCCGACCCTGCTTGATCTGCAGTTTTTGGGGCGGAGTGTACCTGTCCCATTTTCAAAACGGGCCAGGTTGGCGTCCGCACCCATTTATTAAACGGGGCAGGTTCCACGACAAGACACTGCCTTAGCCATAGTAATATGTTTAAAATATTATAGATAAATTTATATATTTTAATGTATATTTATACTTTTTAAAAATATAATTATACTATTATATATAAATTATAATATATTAGTGAATTCATAATAAATAGATAAATAAATGATAATGGGTCAAGGAGGGGAGGCTCGACCGAGACGGCCCATGTCAAGGGCCCTTGCCCTAGTAGACCCGCTGCAGGTCACGAACTAGCTCGGGAAAGTAGACAAGATCTTGCCCCAAACAATCCAGCCCATTACCATCCATACCTAATGACTTTTAAAATTTAAAAAATAAAATATCATATAGACCAAATTTTTCAAAATCTTAGCTGATTTGACTATCAGGTTCTATTAGCGGTTTGTAAGTAATAATTTGATAAACAGTGGATTGTATAGCTATTTTCAAATTTTTATGTTAACATGTTATTTTAAGAATCTTCTAAAAATGCTCTTATAATTAGTTTGGTAATCAAATAAATTCTTTATCAAACAAGCTAATTAACAGATTTTACAGGTCAACTATTTAAATAAAATTTATTCCACTAACATCCAAATAGGGAAAAGAGTATGTAGTATATGATGTAACTCTAGAATTGCCAACATAAATTAATACCATAATACAATGCCATATATTGTTAGTCTTCTGGTAAAAACTATAAATTGACTTAGTTCAAGAGTGAAATGTCAAATTTGCACGTAATAATAACTCGTGCCATTCCATGTGATTACTAGTACGTACCCCGTGCGATGCACGAGACATAGATATTAAATGAGTTATTTTCACACTCTTGTCCGTTTAAGTTTAAAAAATAATAGGGTTATTATCTATTTTCTACCTCTTTTAATAAACGTTAAGTCTAAAAAACAATAGGGTTATTATAAGTTTTTTTCCACATCTTTTAACCAGCGTTGTTTTTTTAGTCAGAACATTAAATATGAGGATGTTAGGGCTAACTTGTAAAATAATTAATATATTATCTCACTAAAAAATTTATACTAATAAAAATTTAATTTTAGCATATAAATTTATCCCTTGATATAAGAGAAAATAACAATTTTACTTATTGTTGTTCACTATATAATATTTAATTATTATTTTATTATATAATAAAAAAGAATATTGTTAAATAGTGTAGTAGAATTGTTATAAAATTATATGAATTATTTTTTTACAATATGAATTTAGTATCTTTTTATGACTTGATAATATAACTATAATATATTCTTAATTATACAATCTGAAATCGGATTACAGAATTTCAATACATAAATAATAAAATTTTTGATAAAAAGATAGGAAGGAAATTTCAATTTCAAGCTACAAAAAGTTTAAAACGATTTTATGGGATTTTGTTGACTAAACGGATTGTATGTGATAAAACAAATAGAAGATAAGAAGGAAATTTCAAATATACAAAAAATTAAAGCAAATTTTGTGGGATTTTTTCGCAGGAAAATCGATTGTATGAGAATAGTAATAGCATTAATTGAATCGCATAACATTAATTTCAATATTAAATAATTAAATAAAATACATGCTGAAAATAGTAATAATATTAATTGCAGTTGACTTTTCTGGATATTATTTGTAGTAAATATGATCTATTTGTAGTAAATAGGATCATTTTTTATATAAGTATAGATTTTGGTAAAAAAAAATGTAATTAGACGATGATAATAGTGATGGACTAATAATATGATAAAATGAAGAAAAAACATCCTCAAAGCATAGTTTTTAAACCCGGCCCGGTGATCGACCCGGGCAGGTCCTCGGGTCACCGGGTCACCGGTTCAACCGTCGGGTCACCGGGTCAATTGCTGAACCGGATAATTAATTTAAAAATTTTTAAAATTATATATAGAGTATTATTGTTATATAAATATACATAAAAGTAACAAATTAAATGTTTTGTGTATAAAATTTGTATATTAAAATGTTACTATAATGTATTTCATGATAAATATTTACCATATAAACATATATACATATTTTTATTTTTAAAAAACAAAAAAAAAATAAAAAAAAAATATAAAAAATATATATGAACTGGGTCAACCGGGGTTGATCCGGCCGGGTCAATGCCCCGGGTCGGCCGGGTCTCTACCGAGTCGGCCGGGTTTTGACCGAGTTTGACCGGGTCCTTGGTTGCCCGGTCCAAATACTCCACTCGGACCGGTTTCGGCTCCGGGTCGACCGGGTCCCGGGTCGACCCGCCGGGCCGGTCCGGGTCTCAAAACATTGCCTCAAAGCATAAATAAAATGCATAAGTTCGCCATAAATGTCATTGTTTCAAGAGTAGCACGAAAAATTGGTGCACCCATCGGTAACTGTAGCATACAGAGAACATTCTTTCCGCATTGCCATTTGGCCCCACATGTGCAGTTTTTCTCTCTGCTTTGCGCGCACTCGGTTTGTTACGCACTGAAAACGCTCTGCACATATACTTACACTCTCTCTCTACACACACATATTATATATATACATGTTCACGAAAATTTGCAGTTGATTTTTGCTGTTGGCTCTCAGGCTTCACCAGCAAGCGGATCAAAATGTTCTACTCTCATCAGCTGCTAGCTCGCAAAGCTCCGCTCGGCCAAATATGGTAGAAATTCGACGTTCTTGCTTCAGTTTTCCCCCTCTTTATTCTGTTTGCCTGCTGAACATACATACTACATGTAAATTGTAACATTTAAGTGGTATCTGAAGCACGAACGCGCGAAATATGATTTGTGCTCCGTTTTCATTTTAATCCGTTGTGTTTTCTTATTCTTCGATTTCTGGAGTTTGATGAACGTTGTACTGCTTGTATTGTGCGTGTTTTGAGGTGGATTTTGAATTTTGATGAATGTGTGGCTTCGGATTTGATCTTAGCTTCTGCTTGCTTACTCTGTTTTTCGTGTATGGTAAATCGGGGCATTTTGATGTTTGGGATTTTGATTTAGTAGAGAATTACCTCTGGTTTAACAGAAAACAGTGTCAGCGATGTTGATATGAGTTTGGTTTTTGTTGAAAGAATTTATTATTTCTGTTTTCTACTGTTTTATGAGCTGATTTTGTACAATAAGTTCAAGATCATGAAGTGAGATTCTGGTTCTGTGTGTGTATTGGTGCGTTTGAAGGATGGCAGCTACTATGCATGCTAAAATCCACCGAAGTAAGCTGAATAAGCTTAACATTATCAAAATCTGGTAAGTTCTTCTCAACAAAAAAGCCATTTAAAACAGATCTCGCTGTTCGAGTTTATGCTTCGCTCATTTTACACCTGAGTTTTGTTGCAGCGAAGAAATATTGAATCCTTCAGTTCCTATGGCCCTCAGACTTTCCGGAATTCTCATGGGTATTGCTATTGGAACACGGTTACTGTTATTTGAACTTTTATTCACGGAGTCTGAAGTTCACTGTTTCATTGTATGTTATTCCAGGTGGAGTTGTCATTGTTTATGAAAGGAAAGTAAAACTTCTGTATGGTAGGCTTTCTTTACTTCATTCCTGATAATTTGATCGTGTATAGTCACCCGT